AAGTGCTGCTGCTTTGATTGACAGCCAGGGCCTGTCTCTGTGGGACTATTAGGGGTCAGCCTCAACCTGCGGCCTGACGAATTTTTGAGCGAATAGAAAAAGAAAAAAGTAAATAAAATAAAAAAAGAAAAAAAAGTGGCGCGTGATGCTGTAGATTCCTCTCTTGGCATTCACCGCGTGCCTTAATTGTATGGACATTAAATCAAGGTCCGCTGTGAACACGCAGAGTGACAACCCTGGAAAGAAGCGTTAACCCGCTTCCGAGCCTCAAGGAGGATCTCATGGAAGGACTGCATGTTTGCGACCATCAACAGCTCCTCGCTTCCGGGAGCGCGCGCGCGCGCACGCACGCACGCACACACACACACACAAAACCTCAAGCCGATTTGCATCGCAGTCACGCGCGCAAACACTCGTTTAGTCCTTCAAATCTCAAAGCCGATTTACAGCAAAGCAGCGCTAACTGCGCCTCTGCGGCTTCCACGCGAAGAAATATTGATATCACTGCGCCACAGCCACAACACAATAACCACCCCCAACACCACCCCGTCACACCACCACCCCAGTCCTCATCACCATGGTTAAAAGACCCCCAAATCTAAGCCGTGTCTGTCCTCGGATTCGGTGGATTGTGCGTCTTTACGCATCCCGTTCCCTCGCCTGGAAATGACAGCTTCGAGCTACGCAGCCTCTCACCTCGTCCAGAACCCCTCAAATGACAAACAGCACCCCTCCCCCACCCCAAATACAAAAATAAAAATGAAAAAAAGAAAGAAAGAAAGAATAAGAAAGAGAACAAAAAGCACGGACGGCAGAGCGCCACGAGCGTTTGAAGCCGTACATCCCGCTGCGCGCGCGGAGCTCTGCATGTTCCACTGAACTTGGCTTGGATGCAGTTCCTGGACTTGTCCACGATCAACGCCCTCGGACAAAAACGCGCGATGCCTCCTCTCTCCTCTCATCCAGCTGACACTACAGATGGCAGAATGTTGTTGTTTTTTTCTGACATGATGTCACAGTGGATCTTCAAACAGCCGAGTCTCTCTTGTTCATCTTGTTCAGTCTGAAGTTATTATTTATATTTTTTTCTAATGTGTTCTGTCTGGATGAAGGAGAAAACAGCTTCTTCGTCTTGAATAAGGTTCCTTTTTTCCTTCAACAGAAAGTGTCTCGGTTCCTTCCTTTCGGTGTCTTTAATCTGACCCGTTTCAAACCAAATCCAGCCCTGGATGCTTGCCCCCCTCCTCCTCAC